TGTGGCCGTGGGGATGCTGCAAAGGTCAAAACTCTGCAAAATGGCCAGAAGGCACAATAACTTTGAACGTTCACAAAATGAACAGTTGGGGGTTACCTGTAGGTGAAAGGAGAGCAAACCACACTCCCCTGTAGCACTGATGATGTTGCTCAGTTGGGTAATGAAAGGTCTTCAAGAAAACAGCCGATCCCCAAGGACCCTCAGGGGCAACTCTTCTCTTCTGCAGCCATTTGGACGATCCCCCAGGCAGACTGTCCACTTGGGGTGGAGGGAAGCGGTGGAAACTCAGTTGTTGCAGGAAACCTGGTTTCTTTGCTTTGGAGCCCTTAGTCCTTGGTACACTAAGATCAGAATCACACTGACGTTTGTGTTGAGTTTGTGTCTTTCCTCGCTTCTCTACTGAACTCTACACTGGTTCAGTGTGCAGAGTCAGTTGCGATCAAAGCAACAAACAACAGTTGCATAGCAAACAAGCCAGGATTCACGGCACATGCCAAACTCAGGTTTGGAAAACCCGAATCCTGTACTCACCTGGCAAGATGCTGGAAAGGACCAGCTTGTTTCACACACCCCACGGCCAACCCAGCCCTCACCCAGCCCCCCTGTGTTGCGGGGAGGCAGCCGGGTAGCTGTGTGAGGCCATTGTCAACTCAAAAAACATTTTGTATACAAGTTTTATAGTTGCCGACAGAAAGAAGGAGGGAATTTCAAAGAGCAGGCGGCAGTGTGGAATTGAAAGTCCATTCCATTCATATTTCCTTCTAAGACTGATCAGATGACTGAAGCTTCTGCCGCAAAAAAATCTAATTGGAGAGCATGATTGGTGACTCTTGGCTACGACGTTTTTTTATCTTAGATGATACACACAGAGGGGTGGGGAGGAAGCAGGATCAGGGGTGACAGTGAATTTCATATCTCAGAGTTGGCCACGCCCATATTAGTGTCGGACGTAAAATGGTAGCTTCAAATAAATCCACTTTAGTTTTGGGAGTGTGGCTCAAGGCTCATGATTTAATTGGAGTAACTGCCGGAACCCTGACAGCCGCCCTCCTTGTGTCGCAGGTGCCAGAGTTACGTGGTAGGGCGCGTAGAGAGCGCCTCTCCCAGGCTGCACAGCAGACTCCGCACTCTCTTGGTGAAAAACGCTTCTGTAAGGCAGATTGTGGACAATTACAAAGGTGAGGGGCCCTTTCAGGAGGGGGCTGGGGGTCTTGGGCCCTCAGGAGGAGCCCCAGGAGTTCTGGGCCCTCCTGCCCCCTTTCCTACTGGGGGAATCTTGGGTAAGCCAGGCCTCATTTTTTCCTTTCCTCCTCCGACTCTCAGCCTCTCTGCAGGCGATTCTGACCAGGGAGAACCAGGATCGACTTCTGGCCACGGGTAAACCCCCTGGGGCTTGGGGGGGGAGGAGTCAGTGGGGGAGGGGCTACCAGGCCTCGCAGCAGCGGTTTCCCACATCGCCAGTAGTAACGTCTGCCAGGAGGGGCTTCCTCCGTGAAGTGGAAGCCCTGAGTCTGGAGGGCCCCGAAGGCATCCACTGGGGGAGGAGTGGGGGTCCCACAGCAGCCAGGCGGAGCCAGAAAAGAGCTACGCGGGAGGGCGCTGAGAGCTTCCCGGGCATAGAAGTGCACAGCGGGGGCCTGTGTGTTGAGTTGTGCCTTGTGAGAAGTGGGGGAGGGGGCTTCCTCAGTCCCCCCCACCCTGATTTTAAACTTCTATCCCTTCTTCCCCAGTACTTGCTCCAGAACAGCCAAGATCTCGTAAAGGTAACGGCGCACGGAGGAAAAGGTCTACGTCAGGGCCGGGCTGCGCAGTAGAGGGTGGGGCCCAGCTGCAGCGCCCTGTGTACCCTTGACGTTGGAAACCCCCTGCCTGAACCAGCTCTCCAGGCAGCTGACGGGTCAGCAGGCGCTGCTGTAAACGGGGGGAACCTCTCACCCCATAGCAGCCATCCAAGTGTGGTGGGTGGGCCTTGAGCAGCTGCAGAGGATGATCTATTTTGGGATTAAGCGGACATTTCTTTCAAGCCTGCCAGACACCGCGACTCACGGCAGCGGATTCCAGGGATGACCGAACGGCCCAGTTCGCTCCCCTTGGCATCCTCCTGCCCCCCGCCCGCTAAGCAGGTCTAAGCAACCACGTTTCCCTTCCCTGAGTGGGTGGAGCATCCTCTAAGATGGAGTTCCCTGACCTTTTCGCCTTTGCTGATCAGAGGGTGGGGGGTAGAGGATGGTCCTGCGTGTGTGGAGGGAAACCATATCCCTTGGATTGCGCGAGTGGGGGTGCGCGCAGGTGCATTCAGTCACCCGCCACCTCTGCAGCCCGGTTCCCAAAGGCTCAACGCATGGTAGGGGTCCAGGGCCCGGGAGTGGGGGAACCTTGATCTATGACCGCCTTTGCCCTCCCCTGTTCCCAGCCCGTCTGAGAGTTTCTCTTCTCCATCCTGCAGTCTCCGTCACGCTAAACGGCTCAACTGCCCACCCCCGGCTCCTGTGCCACAGGTCCAATTTATGTTGGGCCATCAAATACCAGGAATTCCCGGATGTGCCAGAGAGGTTCGACCAGGAATTCTGCGTCCTGGGCTGTGAAGGATTCACCACAGGATGGTGCTGCTGGGAAGTGTCCGTGCACGAGCTAGACGGGGTCCCGGATGTCAAACCTAGTGCACCGCAGCTGCCATTTCTGTGGGGGGGCAAAGCACGCTGGGCCATCGGGGTGGCCAAGGAGTCCATCCGCAGGAAGGGGACCTTCCCGCTGAGCCCCCAGGAGGGCATCTGGGCCGTGGGGAGGAGTGTTAAGGGGGAGATGATCGCTTTTGACACATATCAGCAGAAGCTGAGCTTGCAAAGGCCGCTGCAGAGGCTGCGGGTGAGGCTGGACTGCGAGGCCAGACAAGTGGAGTTCCTGGATGCGGAGACGGAGGCTTTGCTCCACACCTGCTGGGTTGGGCTCGCCCTTGGGCAGACGCTCCGGCCTTTTTTCTACCTGGGCCAGGATAGGGTCACCTTTTCAATGTGAGGAATGTCCACGTCCTGTACAAGATCTTCGGGGCTGATAGTCCCCAACTTACAACAGTTGACATTAGTGACCAAAGTTACCACAGCACTGAAAAAGGAGACTTAACGACCATTTTGCACGCTTAACCACCCACCTTGGGCAGCATCCCCAGGGTCACCTGATCACAATTGGGGAACGCTTGGCGGCTCACCTTTATGATGGTTGCAGCATCCTTTTTTAAAAAAAAAGTTTTATTGATTTTAACAACAAACAAAACCACATAAAACATTCAACATAAAACATAAAAACATCCTCCTCCTTCATAGATTTACAAACAGTGTATCGGTTGGCTTACCACTTTTTTTTGTGCATCCGTTTCCTAGACGCCATTATAGTTATATTACATAATAACTCATTATCAATCAACAATTGTATAACCTAGTAACATTACAGAAAAATCATTTAACTATAATTTTGTTAATTCATACTTTAACGAGATAACTAATTTACTTAATTTATTTTACAACAAATCATAAGATCATACCAAATCTATCTTAATAAAGTTTTATAAAAATAGTAAGGAAAAAGAAAATATATATTCATTATATCCTAAGTCTAAATATTCTATTATGTTTTATTATCTAACCATTGATAAAAAGGATCCCAAACTTCATAAAATAGTTCTTCTTGTTCTCCAATTTCAAATGTCAAATCTACTCATTTCAGCACAATCCAATATTTTCTTAATAATTTCTTCCTCTGATTGAATTTTCTCACGCTTCCAATTTTTAGCAAATACAATCCTAGCCGCTGTTAATACATTTACAATCAAATACTTCAAATTTTTATTATATGTATCAGGTAAAATTCCCAATAAAAAAATCTCTGGTTTCAAGTCTATATGTTTCTGTGTCATTTTTTCCAACCATATGCGAATTTTAGTCCAATATTTTCTAGTGTCCTCACAAGTCCACCACATATGGTAATATGAGCCAGGTATCTGATGACATTTCCAGCACTTTTCAGATTTATTCTTGAACATTCTTGCTATTCTTGTCGAGGGGAAATGCCACCTGTAAAACATCTTATACAAATTTTCTTTATATGCTGTTGACATTGTCATTTTATAGTTTTGAGACTACAATTTTTCCCATTTCTCCAAATCAATCCCATATCCAAAATTCTTCCCCAAAACAATTGTTTAACTTGTTCCTCCTCTAATTTCCAGCAAATAACTATATAATTTTTTAATCACTTTTTCATCAGTACCTGTCAAAATCCTATCTAAATCAGTCAATTTATCATAAAATCCCTCCATTTTAGAATCTTTAAAATACCTTGAGTGATGTGGCCACACCAAGCCTGGCCAGTCAGCACAAGCAGGCTGGGTGCCGCATTTTGGACCAGCCAAAATTTGAGGGCAAAATTGAGAATCACATGTTGAGTGCGGATGGTCAGCCAGTTACGAATCCCATCTGGTGATTATGCCGTCTAACATTTTTTTCTATTTTATCTAGTAGTAGGTTATGGTCTACCTGATCAAACGCCTTACGGAAATCCAAGAAAATTATATCGACAGCTTTCCTCTGGTCAACTCATTTTGTCACTTTGCCAAAGAAGGTCAAAAGATTAGTCTGGCATGATCTGCTTTTAACAAACCCATGTTGGCTTTTGGTTGTTTCTTTGTTGGCTTCTAGGTGTTGGCTCGTTCGCTGCTTGATTATCTTTTCCACAATCTTGCCTGGTATTGAGGTCAGGCTGATGGGTATGAGAGTAGCTTTCTTGGGCGAGAAGTAATCCTCTTCTTCCTCCTCAAGGAAAATCAGTGGCCGTATTGACAAAGCAAAAATTTTGAGAATGTTTTGAGAAGATTTCAAGCTGGTAAGAACACAGAATCCGAAGACCAGAAGAGACCTTGGACCCAAGAAACTATAGACATCAATACCCGGGAAGATACTAGAAACGATAATAAAAAAACCAGATCTGACAACATCTAGAAACAAGAAAAGGAATAACTAGCAGTCAGCACGGGGTTGTTAAGAACATTTCATGCCAAACCAATCTTATTTCATTCTTCAACACAGTGACTAAATTAGTAGACCAGCAAAATACTGTGGACATAATATATTTAGATTTCAGCAAGGCATTCGATAAAGTAGACCACAACCTACTTCTTAGTAAGCTAGAAAAAAGTGGAATAGATAGCACCACCACAAGATGGACTCGCAATTGGCTGACAAATTGTACTCAAGGAGTAGTCCTTAATGGGCCTAAGTCTACATGGAGGGAAGTAAGCAGTTGGGTGCCACAAGGTTCTGTCTTAGGCCCAGGACTCTTCAATATCTTCATTTACGGCTTACATGAGGGAACAGAAGGGAAACTTAACAAATTTGCAGATGATACTAAGCTGGCAGGAATAACTAACACCCAAGAAGATAGGCTCAGGATCCAGAGGGATATTGACAGACTCGAACCCTGGGCCCTATCTAACAAAATGAAATTCACTGTACAGAAAAGGGAAGTCCTACACTTAGGCAAGAAAAACTAACTGTGCAGGTACAGACTAGCTCAGTGCCAATAACTGTGAGAGGATCTTGGAGTCCTAGTGGATAATCCCTGAAATAGGAGCCAGCCGTGTGCAGCAGCAGCCAAAACAGCTAATGCAATCCTAAATTGCATTAGCAGAGGGATACAATCCAGATCAAGGGAGGTACTAATACCTCTCTATAAAGCCTTAGTAAGGCCACACCTAGAGTACTGCATCCAGTTTTGGTCACCACATTATAAAAAAGAGGTTGGGGCTCTAGAAAAAGTACAGAGAAGAGCAACCAGGAGGATGAGGGGGCTGGAGGCTAAAACATACAATGGACGGTTGCAGGAACTGGGCCTGGCTAGTCTAGTGAAGAGAAGGACCAGGGGAGACATGATAGAGTCTTCCAATATTTGAGGGGCTGCCACAGGGAGGAAGGGGGTCAAGCTATTTTCTAAAGCACCTGTAGGCCAGACAAGGAATAATGGATGGAAATTGAACAAGAAGAGATTCAACCTGGAAATAAGGAGAGACTTTCTGAAAGTGAGAACAATCAACCCATGGAACAGAAGTTGCCCTCGGAAGTTGTGGGAGCGCCATCCCTTGAGACCTTCAAGAAGAGATTGGACTGCCATCTGTCAGAAATGGTGTAGGGTCTCCCGCATGGGTAGGTGGGGGGGTTGGACTAGATGATCTGCAAGGTCCCTTCCAACTCTGATTACCAGTTAGATTTGTTAGGTCTTTAGTCCTTCCCTCTGCCCAAGGCAAAAGCCCTTATTCCACCCTGGAGAAACAGTTGTCCTTTCTTTCTTTGAAGACCTCCAGTGACCAAGAGCACCCACAACTCTGCGGAGCGAGCTGTTCCTCTGACTAATCTCTCGCTGCCGGAAAGATAAGAGGAAACCAAAACAGGCGGACTCTTCCCCCAGCCTGGCTCCAGAGATCAAGGCTGCTCCGTCTGTGTCTCCTTCCAAGCCTCCAGCAAGAAGAACGAAATACAGGGAAAGGCACGTTGGAGGCCCATCGACCTCCAAACTAATCAGCAACTCGCCCGGCTCTTTGCCAGCTGGGTGACGGGTCTCCTTTCTGGATCCTAAACTAGCACTTTCCAAGGATAAGCAGGATGTGGAGCAAAAGTCGGTTTCCTTCCCTCCCCGGCAATGAAATGAATATGGGGGCGAATTGGCCTCTTGTAAATTCCTCTCCATTCAATCCGGCACCTGAATTCAACACAGATGCAACAAACCTAAACTACGTGATGCTCTTAGATGAGGCTACTGAGCTCCAGGGGGAAAGGATACACAGGTCAGTCCCGGGGAGTTACAGAGGGCCTCAGGGAAAGGGAGGTGCAACCCATCCCTGGCCCTTAGGACTGTCTCACACACACAACCCCTTGTGATTGCGCTTCGGCTACTTGGCAAGCGGCTCATCATCTATAAGCGAGCAATGAGCACTTAAAGTCTGCTCTACCGCTTCCCGGTGCTTTGCAGCCCTCTAAGCCACAGGGGCCTCCTACCTTGGCAACTTTCAGCCTGGCGGACTTCAACTCCCAGAAGGCCCCAGCCAGCCTTAGAGTCCGCATCCTGACCCCAAGAATCTCCGTCCTCACTTTACCGACCTTGGAAAGGCAGAAGGCTGAGTCAACCTTGAGCCAGTGGGCCGAGTCTGCCTGTAGTATTGTGTTCCAGCCACCAGGGCACCACCTGATGGTTGCGGCATCTTGTAATTGCGGGATTGTGGTTTGCGACCTTCCCAGCCAGATTCCAACGAGCAAAGTCAATCAATGGGGAAGCCGGATTTGCGTAACAAATGTGTGATTTGCTAATTGTCCCCTGTGACTATCACTAAGTGTTGCACCTGATGATTCTGGACTCTTTTTTTTAAACAAATTTTATTAATTTTTAAAAACAATACACAAACAAACAAAACGTAGAATATAAAAACATAAGGCATCTTTTCTGAAAAAAAATTAAAACATCTTATTTAAAGACAGCATAGTTCCAAATTATCACATTTCCATACAAGCACAATTTAATATGCATATTTATCTTATATATTCAACTTCATATTTTTTCCCAACTTCTATTTCTCCCTTTCTTTCTATTCAATTATATTTCTTTTGCCTTGATTTGTATATATTCATTGTAACCATCTGTCTTATTTGCAATTTCATTATTCTCTTCCAACATTCTTCTAGAGTTTTATTAATTCAAACATAGACAAATAAAACACAAAACATAAATACATAAATACAAAACTTCTTTTTGGAAAGCGGCTTAGCCCCGGGTTAGATCTTTTTGTACAGACGTAAATCAAATTCATGCTCACCTAATATACTATTTCATATCTTATTTAACATTCTATAGTTTCTATATATTTTCTCTCTTCTATTCACTCTCTTAATTCTATTTTATTTATTTATTTCATCTCCACTTAGATAATTATACTTGCATCTTTTATCCGTTCTCTTTCAATTATCTATTTATCTTTTCTTTCTAATACAATATTGCTCCTGTAATCACTA